GGGGTCGAACTGCTTACTCACCCCCTCACCTCTACTGACTTGCTACCACACGGCAGTGCAACTGCCGTGTTGCCAAACTCGAATTTCTTCTGTAGGAATTGCCGATTTTCATGCTGTTGCTCCACTTTCTAAACACACAAGCCACCTCCCCCACTGACCCAGGCAGTCGGAAGGACACGCAGACACCTGAAGGGCTCGCTTCACACCACGCACTCACCTCCACCCTGGGCCCGGCTCCTCACGTCGCGCGTGAGAGCATGAGGCACACATCGCCAGTGGCTCTCAGGACCATCCTCTCCAGGCCAGCCAGCCTCTGCATGGCCTTGAGTCTCCAGCCAGCCACCACCCCAGATCCAGGAAGGAGAGCTGAGCTGTGCAGTGACGCCCACTCCACCTGTGCCACGCATTCCCAGACGGCGTCCCCACCAGGCCCCTGCCCGCACCCGGCAGTGTGGCCCTACTCGGACCGGGCCTCGGCAGCAGCTCTGGTGGCGCAGTACCGTCACCGAGCCTCGCTGGTGGCAACACGTCTAAGCCGGCACAGCAAAGCAGAAAGCGGTGCACGCCGCCTTCATGCAGCACGAGGCGCGCCGGCGTCGACGTCTACGTGGGAGCGCTGTCCGCCAACATCCCGAGCGAGGGGCACCTGCAGCCCCTTGAAGTACGCTCGCCAGGCTGCATGCCAGCCAAGTACTGCTAGGTGGGCAACACACATCTCAGGACAGCGGCTGGAGAGAAACGGCCAGGGAAAGATCCTGAGAGGGCTTCAGTTACTTTGTTGGGTTTTGCTCCCTGAAAGAAAAGATCTAAGCAAGTAATGGAAATAAAGACGTGTATCCCAGAGAAAAAAAATCACAGCAAATCAGAAAGGAAATTAATCTACAGTCCATCTCCTGCCACCCATAAAGAATCTGTCCCCTAGCCAAGTGTGGTGGTTAACATTTGTAATCCCAGCTACTCAGGAGACTGAGGCAGGACAGCAAGTCTGGGTAACTTAGAGAGACTCTCTCAAAAAATAAAAAGGGGTAGGAGTGTAGCTCTGTCACCGCACCCCACTTCTGAGTCTAATCCCCAGTACTGCCAAGAAAAAAAATCCACCCTAGCACTATAGGAGGCTGAGGCAAGAGGATCACAAGTCCAAACTCGGCCTGGGCAATTTAGTGACTTACAGAGATGCTTTAAAATTTAAAAAGGACTGTAGATACAGCCAAGTGCAAAGGGCCCTGGGTTCTGTCCCCAGCTCCTCCCCATATCATCTCCTAAAATCTGTGAAGATTAACTGACATAAAAATGTATCTGGAACACAGTGATTAAAAATTGTATAATTCAAAACCACCTTAAGTGTTGAGAAATATGATAGGCAAATAGATTTCTTGGGTGTATAGTACCAAAGTGGTAACTAAAACTAAAGTTCATAAAATTTCTCAAACTGCTTTTTATTTTTGCAGTGACGGCTGACATTTGCATATTAAAAATGTAATTTTATAAGGATAACTTTCGGGGCTGGGGATTTAGCTCAGCGGCATAGCACCTGCCTGGCAAGCGCAAGGTCATGAGTTCGATTCCTGGTACCGGCAAAAGAAAAAAAAAAAAAGGTAACTTTCACATTTCACATTAAGCAATACCTAAAGATGACTCCTAATGGTTTTAAAAAGAAAAATAAATTATTCTGAAGTTTCCCTGTACTGGAAGATAAAGACTCTTAGGCGGGTGTTACACATTAAGAATAAGTGGAGAACAGTTTTCTAAACAAAAGCAATGTGCTAACAGAGGTGTTTATGTAACTGAAGTTACCTGGAAGCCAGGCCAACCAGGTATGCCCATCTGAAATGCCCACAACTTTAAGAAAGCGACCATAAAAGCCAAATATTTTTGCCGTCACTGACCCTTAATTTTCAATGAACCAGAGAAATTATTAAAGTGAAAAATACAAAGTTGTATGTATCTTAGGGTTTTGCTTAAAAAGCATAAACATTACAGGAAATGAATGTTCACAGCAACTATGCACAATTTGACTCTTTTTATTAACTTTCTACATTGCTTATAATGCCCTTATTTCTGCACTCAGAAATGTAGGTGGGAGGAGGTTTATGTTGTCCCTTCTCTGCAGCAACCTAAGCTGCCAGGCACCCCCAAGATCACTGCTCCTGCACAAAATCCGAGACGAGGCTCCCGCAAGTGTGGGCTACCCGATGTGGAGCTGCAGATCCAGCTGCCCACTCCTGAGAAAATACTTAACCTCTAGGCCACTAAGCAAGACTATCTGCAATTAGAACTCAAGTCCCACTCAACAACTAGCTACCGATGCTTAACAGAACATAAACGTACCAGCCATCGATAATTACGTTGAAATAAAATTTTTGTTTTTATTGTGGAAAGGAAAATGATACTTCACCACACTTTTAAAGTTTATTTATTCACACAGTAGTTTAATTTCCCTTGTAAACTAGAAAGTTAAGATCACTTATTCATCTTCTGGTTTTGTTTTTTCATACTATTAAGCATTGCTTTGCCTAACCCTCCTTAATGTCAATTTTAAAATCTATGCACACCCCTAAGGCTCTGAACAGAAATGTGCAAAGCACTAAGGAAACTACTGTTTAAGTGCTTCTAAAGTGGCAGATCACAATTTGGAGACATACTCCATAAGATCTGTTTTTATTAACAAGTGTTACAATATTTTCAGCAGTTACAACCCGAAGTATTCCCTGTAATACCAATTTCAGAACTTCTAAGATATTTCGAAGAAAAATTAAGAATATTACTTCTTTGACCAGAATTTCTGAATCGGGTATTTTTCTCCAAGTGTCGTTCCTCTTCTTTCCCTTAAAGATAATATACCGCATACTCAGAACACAGTTCTTGATTTGCTTCTTATAAATACATGGATGGGCAAAGTTAAGGTACATTAGTTCTAGAAAGAATGAAGGAAAGTAGTGCCTTTAGCATCACATGTGAACTTAAGGCCTTAGTTACTTGACTGATTTCAGTGCCAGCAACACTGTTACTCCCTCAAGCTTACAAATGCCAATAAGCAGATCAACAAAGCAAACATTTCTAAACACATGAGGATGAACAATTTATATATCACCAATCAATTAGTACAGCTGGACTCTTTGAAAGTACAATTATTGGTAGTAAAATAATCTGATCACATTCCATAGAACAATTAAAAAGAGTCCTAACCAATCAGAGCATCCACTGATACATAGTTAAGGAACCTACACTTACTTTTGAAGATGCTAGCACAGACTAGTTTTTCTCAAAACCAACCATTTTATAATGCATTTGACAAAATGCCTATCTAAAAATACACTGTAATACTTATTACCAATGTAGGAGACATTCCTAAACACTGAAGCACATACATGAAACACAGTAGGCCTGTAAATACAGTCTTATGATAGAAAATCTCACAACCACTTATGAGCATTTTATGTTCACTATTTCATCCGTCTTTCAAATTATGAGACAATTCCTTGCCCACAAAGTTGCAGTAAAGGCAAAGCTAGAGGCAGGAGACCACACTGCCAGCTCCAGCTCTGCCTCTACCTACCTGTGGGACAAGGGAAAAGTTCTCTCAAACCCTTGGAAGGCCTCAGATTCCTCAACTATAAAGCAAATGAGCTGAACAAAATAAATTCTTTTTCTTTTTCTTTTTTTTTGTTTTTTTTTCCCTGGTACCGGGAATCGAACTCAGGACCCTGCGCTTGCCAGGCAGGCGCTGTGCTGCTGAGCTAAATCTCCAGCCCCGAACAAAATAAATTCTAAGGAGCATTCCCATAAAACAAGATTGCACTAAATTTTTGAAAACTGAAAAAAAATTTTAAGGTATTTATGAAATATCAAGCTTGATACTTATCATCAATTATGTCAGTTATAGAACAGCTTTTGACCAAGGAATTACTGACTCTGCATGTATGGGATGAAAATATAACATTTTTTTTTTTTAAGCATGCTTTTCCAGTTCAGAAGAAGGGGTTTACAATGACAGTAAACCGAACAGCACTGGAAACACTATCAGCAGCAGCATGCTAGTAGTGACTAGGCCATTACTCATGTTTGCTTTTAGTAAGTTTTGCTCCCAAGCAGGAGGTTTTATAAAAGATACCACAGAGCACAAGAACTCAATATATGTGATCTGACACAAACTCAAAACACATCTGAAATGAAAATAACCAAAACATTTTAGAGCATTTCCCCTTTTTATAAGGTAGGTATGCAGGCCTGGGCCTACCACTGTACCACATCGGAGTCTCAAAGCACACCTTCTTTCTCAGGCAGAATGCATCTTTCACAAAACCAACACCAATTTCCAAGAATAAAACTTCAGTTGCATTAGAATGTACTCAGTTATGTGCTCTGATTCCAAATATTTCCATTAGTGTGAATACAATAAACAAGACACAAGCTAAATACAGAAAAGTCATCGGCCCCTGCAAGGAATATTTACACTGAAAATGTGTTTCACATGCGTAACAGATTCGCAAAAGAAAGGTCGTTTTTCACAAAGAAACTTTCCAAGGTTTGCTCAGTAACACTGAATTTCCATAATGAAATCGTGTCAAGTTGGACTGGACAAAAATACCTACTTTTTAAGTACTATTATGAAATATGTGTAAGTAGTAAAAATTATTAGGCTGGATAAATACTTGAAAATCAAGAGAGTAAGTCTTCTCTGAAGACACCAAAAGAAGCTGATAAAGAATGGGGTATATCAAATGGCCTGGTGACATACACAGAAACTCCCTAAAACTGTAACACTTATTTTCATGGCATTTGCTCATATTTCTTGAAAACAAACCAATTACAATCTTCTAAAAGTAGCTTCAAACTTTATCAATGATTTTCCTTAACAGAACATGGACTTTTAATTGCAAATACTGTACTATCTATATGGAAAGATTTCAACGCTAGAGATAATTATACATTATAAATTTCAAATACCACACCCTGGACCTTCTGACACCCCCTCCAATGACACCACAGACACAATCAAGCTATCGAGCAAGAATCTGTTAACAGTTTTATTTTTTTATGTTAAATACCATGGGACAGGACCGTAAGGATGAAAAACTCAGTGAACAGTTGCCTCACAAGGGTAAGAAAAATTCCGCCATGATATTAGCAAAGGTAAAGGAGAAAATGTACATGGTAAGAGGCACCATTTCCCCACAGAACACCTCTTGGCATTTCCTGAATGAGTGATATTAGCAATCTAAATAAATCATATTTCAAGAGGTAACAGCAACAGATAAAATTTAAAGGGATTATTAAAATAACATTTACAAGACTCTGAACAATTGTTGAACTCTTATTAAAACCACAAAGAAAACAACTCCTTATTATGAATTTCATGACAGACTGTGTGCCACTGACACCTGCTAATGATGACCTGGTGATAGACAACCTGTCCAGCAGCCGACAGTTTTTACTGTGTTTTCTAACCATAAGAGATCATTAGAGGCAAAGCCTGTATTGACGCTGTACACACAAAAAAAATGGTCACTGCGGGCCACACTACCAGTGAAATGGTAGGTAAACAAATCTTTTTCTGGTCAAGAGAAAAAAAAAAAAAAAAAAGAAATAGCACTCTGCATGCTTCACTCTACAAGATGAACTTCCCTAGAAAGAACCCGATGAAGATGGCTGCAATCACAACAAGGAGTGAGGGGAGAGGACTGGTGACGTTGTCTCTGAAGGACGCAGCCGAGGCCGACCCAGGCTTCTCCGAATGTGCTACCTTCCTGAGCCTTAAGCCTTCCTCCTAGGGGAAAACGCAGAGAAGGGTTTCAAACACAAATATGCATACACATGACACCAGAGCTAGAAAAAGCAGAGGGACAGGAGAAAGGACTAACTGCGAGCCCACAGAGGAGCTCTGTGGAGGGACAGCAACATTCTAAAACCGGACTGTAGTGATGGCTACCCAATCCCTTCAATTTACTAAAAATTACTAAGCTGCATCTATACTTACATTGAGTGTCTCCATAAGATAAAAAATTTTATCTCAACAACACGGATTTTAAAACTGGAACTGAGAGATACATTCCTAAAATACCAATTCTGTACATGTTCATTGCTGAGATGGTCTGCGGTATTTTACATTGGTTACACCCACCCTAGCTCAATCAGGCACAGAGAACCAGGAATAAACCTAGTCTGACAGGTTTGCTGACCCTGCAACTCAGGAGCCTGCACAGCACAGGCACGAGGTATATACCATAGAAGAGATATTACAGGATTTGGAGGACAGGTTTCGGGGTGAACTCCAGCTTTGATATACTCACAGCACAGCAGGGAAGGATGTGTGTGCAAGGGTTCATGCCAGGTTCGGACTACAAAATCCACAGCATCCTAGTCCTCTAAATCCCTCACATTAAGATAGATGTGAACTGCCACATACTGGAACCTCTATCTGAAGCTCTCACCTGGACTGGGAACTGAGCCTGCTTCTCTGCATCAAAATTACTCAGAGCCTCCAGGAAACAGTGGATCACTTCCTCCCTACTGAAGGGCCCCACACAGCAAGTTTCTGAAATGCTAGGTTATTAGGAGACATGTTTTCCCACAGGAAAGGAGCAGTAACTCAAGCAGGTCATGCCACTGGGAAAGTGACCTGGGGAAATACTGGTACTTGTTCACTTTGCAGCTGGCTTTAATCCCCATCGCCAGTCTGACAACTGGACAGTTTCACTTCCTCAGTGCAAGCTATTTGTCGTCTTTCACATGATTCCTCTACTACGTTTAAATTTACAGACAGTCCCCAATTTCATGAGGGTCTAACTGACTGCAGTTTGCACTGTGACCTTTCTCCAGGCTAGCAGCCTGATCTGCTCTAGAGCCACTGGATGGCTCCCAGCCAGCCACTCCAAAACAAGGAGACACTACTTCACAACGTGCTGTGTTGCCAGAGATGCTTGGTGCGTTAGGTGTACCGAGGATACAGTGGTGCCTTGACTCACAAACTTGATTCTCTCCAGGACTCTAGACACAAACCAAACTGGATGAGAACCAAATCAAATTCAATGGTCAGGTTCAACGCTGACCTTATGGGGAAATCTGATTCAGTTCTCATTCAGTTCAGTCTGCAACCAGAATCGTGAAGAGGATTGAGCTACCACTGCATTTTCAATTCAGCACTTATTTTGAATTTACAATAAGCTTACAAGTATTTCAAAGTGTACATGAAAAGAATACACCTGAGTGACCTAAGAGCGTACTATTTTATTCGCACTGCTGCATTTTTTGGAATGAGGTGTTTTTTGGGGTCTCATGCTAATTACTAGTTCCAGACTGAAAGAGCAGTGATTCCCAGCCCCAGGTACACATTACAAACACCTTTAGAACTTTAAAACTATCTCTGGTGACTCTGAATCTCTGGGTCTGGAGAGGACCTAGTCATCTGTATTTTTAAAGCTTACTGGGTGATTCCGATGCACACCCTTGATTAAATGGAGTTTTAAAGCCTAAAAGGTAATGTGAAAGTGCTCAGGTACTGAAATCAGGTACTGAACCAAGTAACTACTTGTTACTGGTAAATTATTCAGAAACCTCACATATATCAAGTCAGTCCCCTTCAACAGTTCGTCCATCTGTTTATTCAAATACGTGGATAATTGCTGCATGCACGCCCTGTGACTACAGAAACAGCAAAGCACAGCTCCTGCCCCTGAGGACTGCACACTCAAAAGAGAAAGCCCTGTAACAGGGAGAGCAGTAAGAGGTAGCAGACACAGTGCAAACACAAAGGAACAACAGTCTGAGACAATTTTCTTTCATTTTTGAAAGGAAAGAAGACTACACTGAAAAAAAAAAAAAGACAAGCAGTGGGTAGTGAAAAGTGTGTGCATGTGTGCATGGTGTAGAAAAGGACACATTCCAGGGCCCTGCAGTGTAGTTAGGAGAGCTCATGCTGAAGCAAGACCAGTGACAAAGGAAATGCTCCTTCAGGGTGTTCCGGCCCAGTGCACTATAACACAAGCATAATGTAAGCGGCAAATGCAAGCCACATGTGTAATTTGAAATTTTTAATAGCACACTAAAAAAGTAGACATAAACTGGCAAAATTAATTTTAATGTTTATGCAACTCAATATATCCAAAATAAGACTTAAATATGTAACACTATAAAAAGATGTTTGCCACCTTTTTCATACTAAGACTCCAAATCTAGTGTGTATTTTACACTCACAGCACATCTCAATTTAAACTAACCACTCTTCAAGTGCTCAACAGCCCCACAGACTAGTGACACCAAAGGACAGCAGAAACAGGAGGGGAAGCCAGCAATGTCACAGGCCACACCACGAATTCTTTCAGATGTCATAAGGAGAGGAACTTGCACGCAACTAGAAGCCATAGTAAGGCTGTTAAAGAGGATGGGAGATGGGGCAGAGGCCAGGTCATCATCAAACTGGGATAAAGGAGAAACAGCTGACCACGGGAAACATTAAAAACACTTGTGAAGGGGCCTAGGCATACATTTCTTACACTTTCACTTCAACTGACTTGGTTTCCACTAGCAGAACTTACTCTCAGGTGCCGATTTTCTTCTGACAGCTTCATCATTTCTCCCTGAAGTCTTTTACACTCCTCCATGAGCTTCCGTGTCTCAGTATCATTGAGTGAAACACTGTGCGGTTTTGGCATGGGTCCATCTTGTTTAGACGCATTCAGTGGAACAGCTTTGCTAGGTTCCATATCGTTCTGCATTACAAAGACATTAGGAACTTTTAAACTAACCAAATCTTACAAATATTAAAAACGTGAATTCTAATTCCTTCTTTTAAAAAAAACTTGAAAAATTTTAGTACCAATTATGGTCATCTGCAAACAATTTTAAAAGAATTATATCAGTAAATGCCAGGCGTTAGGTAAATCAAAATAAGCAGCCCACTACCTCCTCTACTCCCATAATCCTTAGCACTTACCTTACCAGAGCATTTATCATATATCATAATAACGTATCTTTGAAGTTCTTTCCTATAATACTTCAAAGGCTGAGAGAGCAAGAACCGTTTCTCCTTGTATTTACCCCTAAACTCAGCACTTTGGCCAATAGTAGTTATTCAATTAAAGTATGATGGATGACTGATGCCAACCAAAATCCAAATATGAAGGTCATTTTCAGTGCTGATTCTGCAATTCAAATGAGGTTGGGGAGGGAGGCAGGGGAATGTTATCATAATCATTCCAGATGAAATTAGGAACTATCTAAGAAGAAACATTCAAAAGGAAAACCTAACGTCTATTACTGGGGAACAAGTAACTGAAGCATACACAACTATTTAAAGCGAGACTATAACACAAACATACCACTCCAACAAAAGAGGGTGGGGAGTTTAAAACACTGATCTTAAACAAAGGATTCCTTCAAATCCTTAGCAATACTGTTTGCTTTAACCAATGTGATTCACTATGGAATTCTACTTAAGTACTACTTAATACTTTTAAACTACGGAAGAGTGAAAATGTTTCATTTTTACCAGCATCATTATCCAAGTGCAGGATCTGCAGCTGTATCTCCATCATGTCAAAGCCTGTGGTCCTAACTGCCTCAATAGCCTTCCTCCCAATAGCATTATGCCACACGCACCATAACAGCATCAGTGCACTAGTATTTTTATTCATTTAAATGTTTAACTGTTTAAACAATCTAGAGGGGGATGTTGCTCAGAGATGAAGCTTTTGCCTAGGATAGACAAGGCCTTGGGTTGGAGCTCCACCACCCCTGCCCCTCCAAAAGATTTTAGACAAATACTACTTTATTCAGGTATAAGCTGCTAGCAAAAGCATTTACAAAAGCATGCATTCCACAGTACTCATTTATACATAAGAAAAGTCTTTGTTCAAGGGGCAAAACCTGTGTTTCTTATGAAGGCTATGCGGTTTGATCAGCATGCCTAAATACTTGTAAAACAATGTTACAATGAAGTTCTCACATATAGCACCACACACTGGATCTATGCGCAGACTTCTCTATTTTCCTTCAGCACAGGCCAGAAGGGTTTTAAGAAGCCTACTTCATTCGGAGTTCTTTTCTTCCTAGCTTCCTTGTTCTTCAGGCTCCTTTCCCAGGAATCAACTATCTTTACTAATGAACACCTGGTACACACAGATTTTGCTGTTTCCCAGTATTCTTTCCTATTCTTTTCATTAACAGTAATTAGAAAAAAAAAAAAAAAACAGTAATTAGGATTTGCATCGAAGTAATTTTTCAGGTATGCTCAAATACCATCCTGCAAAAATTTAATGTCTGAGCGGGCGTGGTGGCACACGCCTGTAATCCCAGCACTCGGGAGGCTGAGGCAAGAGGATCATTGTGAGTTCGAGACCAGCCTGGGCTACAAAGTGAGCTCAAGGCTATTCTGAACTGCATAGTGAGACCTTGTCTCAAAAAAGACAAAAAACAAACAAACAAATTTCACGTCCGACAACAAAGTGAAGAAAAGCACTGTTCAATAAGGTGATAACTAAAGCGCTTCAGGTTTCAGTCAGGAATTAGGAAAAAGCTCATACTCATCCCAGAAAGCTAACTAAGTAAGAAGATATACATAAAGCAAACCAAGATTAAAAAAAAAAAAAAAAAAAAGCAAAGAATCATCAAGCTGTTCACAACTCAAATTTTTAAGGTTTTGAAATTCTCACAAATTTAAAGTTATAAGAGGAAATTATCACCTGTTATTTCATTAACACAACTATTATTTATATGATCTTCCAATTTTTCCATATGCACATTTTATAAAATCAGCACATATATAATATCCCCTTGTTTTATTGCTGTACATGCATTTCTTTTAATCATTTTAAAGAATACAATGTCATTAGTCTATTTTACCCCTTATTAAAATTACTTAAAACTATTAACTTTTGTTAGATGTTTGCTGGTAGCTTCCTGTTCTTTGGAATTTTCAATAAGTAATCGAGTAACTTCTTCTGGTGGAAGTAATTCTTTATACTGAAGTGTTCTTTAGTGAGGCTGGATAGGCTTTATAACGAAGAAGAGATATCTTAATTTGTGGAGCATAAATATTAAGGCTAGAATGTAAAGGATATGTAGTAAAGGTTAAGTACACTCCAAAAGTGAGTCAGATATGTTGTGTGTCATTGAAAGTTACATAGAACACAAGCCATATAAACCCCTACGAACCAGTTAACATCCACAGCAGACACAAAGAAGTCCAACTTATTTATGGACACTTAAGGTGTAACACAGGTAACACCTCAGTTAGCTAGGGACTAAGACAGGGAACGGCCTGACAAGAAGCACTGAGCTGCTGTGACTGGGCACTCGCTTCCCCTAGGAGCTCTGGGAGGGAGGTCTGGCTGCAAGGAAAGACCCTGTTCCTTGGGAGCAGCTTCAGACCGTGCAGAAGGCTCTTCTGAGAACTATGAAACAAGTACACACGAAGGACTCAACATGATGTGACTCATAATAAACTGCTAAGTGGTGAAATCACCTTAACATCATATGTAACACTACAACTTAAAATAAGTTGAAAGGTCAAGCTGTGTGTGTCAATTAAGGTTAAGACAACACATCCTGTTGTACATACAGTATTCTACTATTTCATGGCCTATGTGCTGTACAGATTCAGGACTCATTTTCAACAACTATCAGAGTTCCAACCCCAATATTACAAGTAATTCTACTGGAGGTAATCACAGAAAGAGGGAATCGGGCACAATATTCGGCAGACAGCTAGTCGGCAGAAAAGGTCTGAAAAGATACCCTGGGCTGAATACAGGAGCTAAAGGACATAAACAGGAAGCCACACTCTTATGACTCCTGAGAAAGGTATGTTGAGGTGCACAAAGGAGTGAGGCCAAAGGCAAGACTCTATAGTACAAACAGTCACAACTGAAGTTTTACCCTGTGTATTAGAAGAGAATATATAAATAACAAAGTTACCTGAAAAACTTTTCTAATCTAAGCATTCACTCTACTGTTTCTCTAAAACCATGATTCCCAGAACTCACTCCAATCGTAAAAATTTTTTAAAGCCACTTAAAGAATTGTATATTGGTACACAAATATTCTTATAACCTAAATTAAGCAAAAACTAGTACACCCATTTCAGTACCCCCCACAAAGAAATCACTGTTACCTTATTGTTGGGGTAGCATTTTACTTGCATGAATATTAACAACACACACACGCACATACATACACACACACATATAAACACACAAATTAAATTACATTTGACCCTTTTTTAGAGCTTTAGCTATAAATTCTCCTCCACTGGGGCTTTGTATATAATCAACAATGACAGTCACAGAGAGGTTACCATATTTGTATTTGATACCAAAATGTGAAGTGTGATTTCATTTTTTTTTTCCCATAAACACCAACACTTGATTGAAGAACAGGGTCTGCCAGCTCCAACAGCACATGCTCCCAAGTCTCATTTTACCTACTTGGTAACATTCACTTACATTTGTCTTGGTCACTACTATGATCTTCCTAAGTGTTAATTTTTTTTAGAACATAATCATCTCTGTGTATGATATTTAAGTGCTTTGAATTTCTACTGTAATTTTAAACATACCTGGAAAATTTACCTAATGTATCACAATACCACTTTAGACTAGGGCCCTGCAAGAACTTAGCAGTAGCCCTAAGAGACCTTTAAGTCTGTTAGCTCCCTGTGACAAACCTTCTGCTTCTCCTGTGTCAACACACTGATTCTCCTGGGATCACTCGTCCTGGGGTAAGTGGCGGGTGCTGCAGCTGTGTTGCTGACGCTGCTCACTGAGGTGGCGAGTGGAGCTGTCCCTGGTGGAGTTACACCCTGAGATGGCATGGATGGGAAACACATGCTCAGATTCACACCAAACTGATTCCTTCTGCATGACACTAGGAATGACTAATAGACAGCATTAGGCTCTAAAACAGTCACATTTTACTCTATACAAATGTGTTACACGTAAGAAACAGTATTAATAAATAATAGCTTTATTAAAGCAAAAAAATACAGGAGTTTCTGAACTAGCTTTTCTGTATTTCCCAAACAAAATTAGATGCAGTCTATTTGCATTATGTTCACTTATTAAATGTACATATTTATGTTTTCTTACTTTTGATAACATTCAACTTGAACTTCCCTTTGAAATTTGGAATGTAATAACCTGTAAACGTCTTGTACTCAAAAATTACACACACACATACACACACACACCAGGCCAATAAATGAACTCAAAGACTCACATAACCTTCTAGCTAGAATATCATTAGCTCTACAATTATCTTATCTTTTCCAATTCCTACAGTACTGACAAAAATATTATATAAAAAGGTGGGAATAGACTTTAAAATACATTATCTGTGCTTTGTCATTTTTAATCATAAAATATTTTTTGTATCTAAGATCCCTGAAATCTCTGTTCTTTACAGCCCCTTGCAGCTTTCCTTAAAACAAATTAGTATTTTTTTCTACAAAATCTCATCATCAATGATTAGACGCTAGGCAGAAAGGAAATGCAATACATTCAAGAAGTCTAGAAAATGTCAAGCAGAGAGGTAAAGCCTCAGAAATTTCACAATCATTCAATCCTGAAAACAACCACCATCACTCATCGGACATTATTCTGTAATACAGAGCTAATGGTAACTAGACAGAGCTAACAACTCCAAGAAGACCATTTCAAACAACACCAACACTTCAGCACCAGCTGCCACCCACTGTCCACCACCCAGCAACACCCTGAGTGGCTCTCCAGTCTGAGCCTTCAAGACAGTTCCACTGCAAACAGTGACAGGCATACATATTCGCCTGCTGTTCCCCAGGGCAAAGACAACTTGCAGTGTACTTGAGGGCAGTATTTGTTTATTCCTGTTGTCCAGGAAAAATTAGTAGTACTTCCCTTTATTCTAACACGTTCCTGGATTTCCTTGGTCACCCATCTATGATCCAAATCAAAAACTTATTTTCCAAAAAGAAATCTATAATAAAATGATGGGTGAATCAAATAAATTAGAACTTTAAAAATAACTTCCAAGATATAAAACTAAAAATCTGGACTCAACCATTACACTTCTAAAGCTGCCTCCTTTTATTATCATACAAGATAATCACAAAACTTCAATCATTTTATTTAAGTATTCAATAACAAGGTCCTAAAATTTTATTAAAAACCAAAACAACACAGTAACATTCTCTTCACACTGTTTTCAAAACATGTACACACCCAAAACCTAACAGCATACTTAAAAATAAAGCCCCTCAAACAGTGTGCTGTCCTTAGCTAAAGCACTTAAATGCTGCCTGCTCAGTTCTGGGGTCTGGGAAGATGTGGTGGGTGGAGCACGAACAGGAGAGTGAGAGGTGGGTGGGGTGGTTCACCTAAGACATATCAAACCAAAATTACCTACGCCCAGCTCTATACCATGTTTGGGAAGAAAATATCTACTATGAAATCTATCAGCTTCAATTACCAAATTTTTCTAAGCTGACTATAAAGATCACTTTTTTTTTTTTTTTTGAGACAGGGTCTTGCTATGTGGTCAGGCTGGGCTGGACTCACCATGCAGTCCAGGCTGACCCTGAGCTAGTAGAGATCCTCCTGACTCCCTAGTACTGGGATTACGGACATGCACCACTACACCTGGCTAAGGATCAAATTCTGATCTCTTTAAATACCACCTAAAACACTAATAACTGCAAGGTGATAGATATGTTCATTAGTTTCATCGTGGCAATTATTTCACAATGTACACATAAAGAAACAAAAATTATAATAATAAAGTAAATGTGTACAGGACCTACTCACTGAATACAGCTTTTCCACTTCTCCAAACACTAAACACAGCCGAACACCAAGTACTGTACATGTGCCATCCAGAGAGCTACATACTAAGAATTAAACCAAGCTTGGGGGCATGGCTCAGCGGTAGAGCACTTGCCTAGCGTCCAAAAGGCCCTGGATTAAATCCCCAGCACTACTAGAACAACAAACACACCTATCCCATTATTCTTGCCACTTTCTGAGACAGTTCTGGAAGTCCTCTTTCCTGATGAGTGTTTTTAATTATGCTGTTGTGGCTGCTTCAATATCGTGAACTGATTTAAAACTTTTACCTTTCATGGTCATTTTGACATTGGGGAAAGAGCCAGAAGTTGGCATGGTGCCAGGTCCAGTGACTAAAGTGGCTAAAGGCACACTGTGCAATTTTATTAGTCTGCGTTTATGGTGGATGGCATTCAGCAGCAGTATTCACTGCATCTGATGACATCTTACAAACATTCACGGAACACGACCTTCAGAATGCTTGAAAAGGTGGCAAGAATGATGGGATCAATGTGCTCAAGGCGATGGGGAATCTTCTGAGGGCAATTAATGGCAATGTGTCTTTTCTTGTAATAAATTTTTAACTTTAAAAACCACCACCTATTTCAATCACACCTCATACACAGTTAACTTGTGTTATAAACAAACAAAAACATTCTTACAAATTCTCAACTACAACAAGACTTCCACCTTGGTGCTCTCAGATTCTCCTACTTGGCAAAGGCTAAGGCAACACTGAACTGATGGCTGGACAGGAAGTCACACAATGAACTAAGAACTGCAGTAGCACTGAGTCTGTGCTGCGCATACTGGACTGAAGGACATCTTCCTGTCATTAACATCCCTTGTAGACCTTACAGGCTCACAGCTTCACGACAGTTTAAGCAGAACTGCTCTGTTCTGTTTTGCTGGCTCTTGAGGCAGGGTCTCGCTACATATTTCAGGTTGGCCTTAAATTTACTACGTAGCCCAGACTGGCCTCCAGCCCACAGTGATTCTCCAAGCAGAACAGTATTTTTTAAAGTATGTTTTTCAGAATACTAGATATTCCAGAAGAATTACATAATATTAAGCTTCAAAATGCTAGTTTAAACATATTTCTTTAACTGCAGCTGTCACAGTCTTTAGCTTGCAAATACATACTGTGATTCCTTCTGGAAGATACACTGTTTCCAGTGTTTTTCCCAAATCTTCCAACTTAATACAGTACACTTTGGGACATGCTGCCTTTAAAAATACAGTTGTTTGTCTGCTTGGAGAAATTTGGGTTTTGCTTTTGTTTTTATGGTTTGGTTTGTTTTTTTGAGACAGGGCCTCACTACGTGGTCCAGGCTGGCCTTGTGTGCCACCATGCCCAGCTTATAGCTGTGTTTTAACTCCTTCTTAGTATATACGTCCACGTCTAACTTGTACATTACAGATACAATTTCTGTATATTTGAATTATATAAATTTTAAAGGAAATCTTAAAAGTCTCATATACACAAAATTTGAAATGTAAACTCCAAACACTGAAATAAATAGCCACCAAAAATCCTAATGGCAAGTCATACTGTGTCTACTGCTCAGCTGGCTCCTAGAAAGTCATGCTTATTCTTCTCAGAAACACTGCTTGATTCTGTATGCTCTACGTTACCTAAGATCTTTCAAAGCATTTCCTACCCATATATGCAACATTTATAAGAATAAAAGGATCCATATAGCTCTATGTGCAGTTAACATGATTTTATCATTAAAATGCTGCCTTTTAAAAGAAGCACTTTCAAATAACAAATGGGTCTCCATCCCATGATGATACATGCCTGTAACCTCAGCAATCAGGAAGCTAAGGTGAGAGACAGCTGCGAAGGGCAGTAAGGGCTACATTGTGAGTTCAAGGAGAGCGTGGACTATACAGTGAGACCCAGTCTCAAAACACAAAAATGAAAAAAAAAACAGATCTGGGCCTTGAAAAATCTTGGCACATTAGATATCAAGAAAGTTAGCAAAGACTACTAGCAACAAAAGGTCTCAAGATCCAACCTGAAGAATCTCCCACAGCCAATCTAAGCAACAATGATAATAAAGCAAGGAGCTGAAACTCCAATGTTCATTTAAACCCATGAGCTTTAACAATACACAAAAGTAGAGATGGAAGGGAGGGAGGGTGGCTGGTTGGTTGTCAGCATAGGATGTTTGTAAATCAACCCATTTTCTTAATAACCTATAACTAAAAAAAGAGACTCTGCCTATATAAACTATCATTAAATAATCAAATGTTAGCCAACTCTTCACCTGTGTTTTCTAAACAGTATGCAAAGCAAGAATAACAGAGTATCACCACACAGAATTTTAAATGAACTAAGAGACCTAAGTCACACTTTCTCCATCTCAACTTCCTTAACATTTTGAGTCAGACTCTTGTTACCAGGGCTGTCCTGTGCACAGAGCAAGTTGAGCAGCATCTTGGCCTCTCTCATAGGTGGTTGCAACAACTCCTCCCCTCAGCTGTGACATCCAAAACTTTCCTGGGGGGAAAATGACTGCTCCTGCATAAGATCCAACTCACCTACACACTGCACCTCTTGGCCACTCATTTCAAAAAGCAATAAATAAACCCAGACACATATGCCACCTTGGGGTGGGGATTTAGCTCAGTGGCACAGTGCCTACCTGGCAAGCGGGAAGTTGTGAGTTCAATTCCCGGTACCGGGGGAAAAAAAAAAAACACATGCCACCTTAAATGAGTAACACCCACAAAACAGCCTTGCTCAACCGCTACCCTCAGCATAAACAATCTAATCAAGTCTCTAGATGCAACTTCCAATTACAGGGAAGATCAAGGACAGAGAAAAAAATGACATCATGAGGATGCAAATAGCAAAATCTATGGGCAAGTCCACAGGTAAGCCTCACTAGTTCTGCAACAAAAAAAGCAGCAAAGAGAGAAGCTCTACATTAAAAGAGAGTTAAGAAAAAAGCAGGGCACTATGCTGAGTTGCACCTCCAGGACCAGCTACTTGGAAAGCTGAAGGGGAAAGGTCCCTTGACCCCAGGAGCTCAAGACCCGCCTAAGAGTCACAGCAAGCCCCTGCCCCTGTCTCCAAACAAAGCAGAACAAAAGAAAGAGAAAAGAAAGAGAAGAAAGAGAAGAAAGAGAAGAAAGAGAAGAAAGAGAAGAAAGAGAAGAAAGAGAAGAAAGAGAAGAAAGAGAGAAAGAGAGAAAGAGAGAAAGAGAGAAAGAGAGAAAGAGAGAAAGAAAGAAAGAAAGAAAGAAAGAAAGAA